TGGTCACCCACCTAACTACTAATCCGCCGGTACTTTGCTTAAATAGGGCTGAGCGAACGGGAAGCCTTGTTTTCAACGTCCTATGGTCGTATGTGGAAGAAGTGCCTCTTTTTATAAAATACTTTCACGATCAAAGGGCAACCCGCAACAACACTGAACGAACAGGACTACGCAACGATACGAGAGGAGCCAAGGAACTGTAGTATCGATCGACCCAAGCAGTGGGCCGCGTTGGCAACACTCGGCACGAGCAGTATACTCGGTACGATCGGTATACTCGGCACGGTCAGTATACTCAACACGAGCAGTATACCCAGTACGATCGGTATACTTGGTACGATTGGTATACTTGGTACGATCGGTATACTTGGCACGGTCAGTATACTCAACATGATCAGTATACTCGGTACAATCAGTATACTCAGTACCGAGCAATCCAAGCAATCTGAGCAATCCTCTGCTCATGTATATAGCAAGTAGACACGCTGCCCTTATGGCATCGTGTTCAACCTTGTCAATCACTTTGTTATTGGAATCTCACTTGCTCTCAAGCCAGACAGTATACTCTGTACTACTCATTGCAACCAGTTGCCACGGTCTTTGACTAGACAACTACCTGACTATTACAAAGGTTATTACAACCTGCCCGGATAGTCTACCCCTGACCACCCAAGCCTTGCTTAGGTAACTGTCAACCCCTATGGCTTTCTGTACCTCTGCTCATCCCCAAGAACCAATCGACTAGTGTCTACGAACTTTGCTTAAGGCACGAATCGTAACAAATACATTTGAGCAAGCTGACAAGATGGCGCAACAGTGTTATTACTGTTGCAAAAAAGCAAAAACATACAACAGCAGGTGTTTGCTAGTGGTCACCTACCTAACTACTAATCTGCCGGTACGTTGCTTAAATAGGGCTGAGCAAACAGGAAGCCTTGCTGTCTCCTGGTCGCTCACCACAAAAATCTGTTGAAGTTGTGTCTTAAGCAAAGCTCGTAGACACTATTCGATTGGTTCTCGGGGATGAGCAGAGGTACAGAAAGCCGTCAGAGGTTGATTATCACTGAGCGAGCTCGGAGCGGCAGAGGTTTGACTGTAATAAACCGCCGTGATAATCAGGGGGTAGTCGTCTAGTCAAAGACCATGGCGACTGGTTGCAATGAGTAGTACAGAGTATACTGTCTGGCTCGAGAGCAGGTGAGA